TTACTGCTCTTTCGGAAATCTTTAAAATGGTTAGACCGCAGTGAAGCTCTGTTTCCTCCCATTCTGTATGCATCGATCATTCTGGATACGACTACAATACGATTCAACGACTGCTACGACGGCGATGAACAACCTTATGACACTTTTGTCGATCCTATTGGATTGTTGATACAGATGGTTCAAAGTCCAGCGGAAGGGAGATCTTTATAATTATATCGTTAAACTGTTGCAACAACAACAAAAAGGAAAATTACGATAAAATTGTATTTTTTGGTGTCCATTACTATTTACTATTCGTTCAGCCACTTAACACCAAGCCTATTCCATTAGCAAATCAATAATAGATTAATTGTTGATGATTGTGATATCTGATCAAATTATATTTAATAGATACAAATTATATTTAGTATATTCGTGACGTTGTTTTTACTAGACTCGAATATATCTTTTTTTTTGTATGGTTTTAAGGTCGAATCGTGTAATTTTAATTTTGAGAGATTTCTTAGCGTTATCAATTTACAGTAATGGGACACATCAGTTTAAGACTGATTAGTGCATTTTTGTTTGATAAGTAGTGCTAGTCATATCACTGCTTATCAGCTTTACTAAAGAATGTTCATAATTACTTACATGCTACGAATTTTGACTGATTAAATTTTGCCTGCCAATTTTTACGTTTGAGTTGATAAACTATGATGATTATATATGAATTTTACTTGATAGAGTGCTTATCTTAAAGTTAAATGTTTTTACAGGCTCTAATGATGTAGTTTTACGAAGATTTCAAGCCTTACGTTGTGTGTTTCCCTTTGTGTCCAAAAGCATTATAACTTTAATTTCGTTTATTTTAAAATATGCTTGTTGCGCGATCAAATGGAATACATTTTATTAGGACGAAGGATAGAATGAAGTGGAATCTCTTAATTCTATAAACTAATCAAATTAAATTAAATCAAACACCTAAGATTGGGTTAAACTTCAAATTTACAACAATATCAACACGTGTAAGACTTTGCTGCACTGCGTTTAAATTAGCGTGATCCAGAATATAGACTAACCTGTGAGTTTCTTGGCCACCATCATACCCCTTCAGATCATACTTCCGACACACGATCCTGTGTTTGTTGTACCGATTCTCATTTCCTCGAGCCACTATCAGTTTCTTCTTAACGACTGCAGCCTGGACCTTCCCCTCCTCTGCTACTGCCAATGTTATCTTTCGTATCTTGCTCGTTAATACTGGTTTTTTGTGGTGATGGTGATGACCGGTTAGCGTTTCTGTGCGGTTCCGGGAACTTTCCGACCTTTGTGAAGCCTTCGCTGCCCCTCTGCCCCAAGCTTTGATCATGTTTGATGTAACCAAAATACAATGCGACAACTGCTACGACAGTGATATACTATGTAACTTGCGTTTATCCTCTGGGATTGTTGATGCAGGAGTACCGGTGTCCGCAGAGATGGAGCAAGTAATGTTTGTTTAAAAAGCTCTGATTATATGAGTGAAATTTACTGAACTTGTTATGTACATATTTTAAATGCACCTGTTAAACGTCAGAACTCAGAAGCTGATTTGCTTAACACTGCATCAGCTGATCGCGAATATTCGTTTTGAAGATATTGCTATATCTGAGTATCTATCTTGCGAAGGCCTTCCTAAATTTCACCCAAAATCGTATTTCCTGTACAAGAGTTATATTATACCATCTACTGTATTATATACGTATGTACTGTTTTATATGCATGTATTGAAAGGTTACGTCAACAAAAAACTAACATTGTTGTGGCTACCACTGGTTACCACTGGTTACCACTGGTTTCCACTGGTCACCACTGGTCACCACTGGTTAGTCACTAACCTCCGCTTAGCCTCGTGATAGCCGTGTAGTTCGTAGCGGTCCCAAAGTCTCCTGTGCCTATTGTACCTTGCTTCTTGGGCCCTAGTATAAGCTGATGTGTTGGAGGAAGCAGAACTTCTGGCAGAATGAGAAACAGTTGTAGAACTTTGCCGTGAAATGGGGTTGGATTTATAACCACTGTAACTGTTGGTATTGGAGATATGTTCGTCTACATAGTCGAAGAAGCAGTCGAATCCAGTCTGTGGTGGTGCACATCCTGAGGCTAGAGAATTTCTACGCTGGTTTTGGATAGCGCCCAGGATGCCTGGCAAAGGAACCTTTGAAGGTCGGTCATAGTAGAAACTGGACATTCCAAATCAATGAGGGTTGTGTTTTGGTGTGGTGATTAACGGTTATTCAGGCAGACAGTATCAATACACAACTTCGTAACATAAACAAGTAGCACAACATGATAGATATAATATTATTGGTAAAATGTTGAGCAAATAAATATAAAACAAATGTACCGTGTTAAATTGGTGGCAGCAGGTTACTTAAAAGCGGTAATATTACATTTACACGTATCAAATACAACAAAATTTGACAAATTTTAGTAACAGAAAGCCTGGATTTAAGGCTGGAGAGCAAAGTGAACTAATGAGATGTCTGGATTAGAGCCTGGAGAGCAAAGTGAACTATTGAGATGTCTGGATTAGAGCCTGGAGAGCAAAGTGAACTAATGAGATGCATGGATTAGAGTCTGGAGAGCAAAGTGAACTATTGAGATGTCTGGATTAGAGCCTGGAGAGCAAAGTGAACTAATGAGATGTCTGGATTAGAGCCTGGAGAGCAAAGTGAACTAATGAGATGTCTGGATTAGAGCCTGGAGAGCAAAGTGAACTAATGAGATGTCTGGATTAGAGCCTGGAGAGCAAAGTGAACTATTGAGATGTCTGTATTAGAGCCTGGAGAGCAAAGTGAACTAATGAGATGTCTGTATTAGAGCCTGGAGAGCAAAGTGAACTAATGAGATGTCTGGATTAGAGCCTGGAGAGCAAAGTGAACTATTGAGATGTCTTGATTAGAGCCTGGAGAGCAAAGTGAACTATTGAGATGTCTGTATTAGAGCCTGGAGAGCAAAGTGAACTAATGAGATGTCTGTATTAGAGCCTGGAGAGCAAAGTGAACTAATGAAATGTCTGGATTAGAGCCTGGAGAGCAAAGTGAACTATTAAGATGTCTGGATTAGAGCCTGGAGAGCAAAGTGAACTATTGAGATGTCTGTATTAGAGCCTGGAGAGCAAAGTGAACTAATGAGATGTCTGTATTAGAGCCTGGAGAGCAAAGTGAACTAATGAAATGTCTGGATTAGAGCCTGGAGAGCAAAGTGAACTAATGAGATGTCTGGATTAGAGCCTGGAGAGCAAAGTGAACTATTGAGATGTCTTGATTAGAGCCTGGAGAGCAAAGTGAACTATTGAGATGTCTGTATTAGAGCCTGGAGAGCAAAGTGAACTAATGAGATGTCTGTATTAGAGCCTGGAGAGCAAAGTGAACTAATGAAATGTCTGGATTAGAGCCTGGAGAGCAAAGTGAACTAATGAGATGTCTGGATTAGAGCCTGGAGAGCAAAGTGAACTAATGAGATGTCTGGATTAGAGCCTGGAGAGCAAAATGAACTAATGAGATGTCCTGATTAGAGCCTGGAGAGCAAAGTGAACTAATGAGATGTCTGGATTAGAGCCTGGAGAGCAAAGTGAACTAATGAGATGTCTGGATTAGAGCCTGGAGAGCAAAGTGAACTAATGAGATGTCTGGATTAGAGCCTGGAGAGCAAAGTGAACTAATGAGATGTCTGGACAAGCAAGCTAACATACTAGTCGTTAAACATATCCATCAGGAGAGGTCGTTGGACAATGAAGGATACAAAATTCTCAGGTTATTCTTAAAGATATCTCTAACAAAAGATATCAGACTCGGTGTAGATTAAAAAACCTCTGATCATGATCAGTAGTTTTCAACCTCAGTATTATTTGCTTCAGTCGCAATAATAAAGTATCATGATTCAGTACAATGCCACCAATAATAATATACAGATAAGATACATTTTATATTTGCAAGACAGCATAGTTTGTTGTTGTTTGCCCGGTAGCCTTGAAAATTGAAAGCATTCGGCGCAATGATGTAAGGCTATAGTACAAAATATGTAATATATCATATAATTCATAATCACTAGAGAATACTCAAAGTTAAAATCTTTATTATAGAGTTTCTTTGTCGTGGTAATTTAAAAGTGAATATGAAAATTGAAACTAAGCATTAGATACACACATGCAAGCAATGGTATTCGGTATGCTTGTTTCTTTTAATCAAATCGTTAAAACTATCAACGTGCGTCGTGCATAGCTTATTTACACTATTACTCATGAGACATAATTGCAGAAGAATGTTGATATGGAGTATCTCATTCAGCTTAATTGCTTCAGTATGGACAAGAGTAGCTGTCAAATTCTAATAACACTCTTCTCAAATGGGGTGAGTGAAACTGCAGAAGTAAAAAAAGGCAGTCAAAGGCATTTTGCTAGTCTGGGAATGGAACTTTTTTTAAATAATACCAAAATAATCTCTAGATTGCATGGATAAGCTTACATGGATAAGATTAATGGACTTTTGAGTGTGTGCACGAAGAGCGAGACAGTATGTACATTGTACATGTTTTATCAGGATTCCAAAATACAGAATACTCAAAGATCCTCTGCTGTGGATCCCTCATCATGTCAAAATGTTGATGGGAAAGCTAAAGAGAACTGGCCAACCGGTGTCACTAAGAATACACTATGTAGAAACCTTAAAGGTTTTCGACGGGGTACGGACTCGTCGACATGTTTGGGACTGATTTTTGGTAATCAGACGTCGTGGGACAAATTAGGGTAAGGTTTTGGCCTGGGTTTTGACTTTGGGTTACGTTTAGGGTTGGTTATAAGATTTTTTCCCACCCAAACCCAAACCCTAATATTTTGCACCGACAAATCCCACGCCGTCCAGTCTCACACCCACGAGTCTCAAGGTCCCAGGGTCCGGGACTCGGACCCCTATGATTTTCATTGATTTCGTTTATTAACGTTTACGATCAACAATTTTCTAGTGTTATAAGCGATAACTCACCGTAGTGGGACCTCAGCCAACCCGTAGCCTTCTTGAATCTTGCTCGCTTTCCTGTGTGCATCATACCGCCCGTCTTGAAGCCTGATCTGTTCCTTCCTAGTTCTAACATGATCATTCACCACTGTCTCACCATCAGCATCTCCCGAAGGTCGATAAGACTCGAAGATATCCTCTGAACTCTCTGATCTGACTGCTGATGGGTCTGTTATTTTGAACTCTTCAGAAGACTCGTAGAATGCAGCGAAGCTCCCTCCGGTTGGAGGGTTAAACCTGTGCTCTTCTTGGTCGGTACCCATCTGGTTCTGAATGAAACCCAATATACCGGGTAACGAGGCTTGCTGGTTGAATTGTACGTAACCAGACATACTGGACATGCTTTAGAGATCCCTTTTAATCGGCCCTGATTTCTCCTCAACGGTTCGCTGACATCCCTCAAACACAAATCTTATGAATGTATGTAGTTATATCGTGAAACTATGAAAGGTTTGCTAACACTATGCAATACATATTACAACTATTCAGTACCGAACAAAGCAACACAACACAATACAGCGAACAGAGATAAAGATTAGCGCTACATCGTGAATGGGGGTGTATCATACCGCCTAATTGATGTCCTATTTCGAGGTGGTATTATTATCCACAAATGCAGTCTAACTCTAATGTGAGTAGCGATTCTACAGATATTCATGATTAAATGATATAGGTGTCGGTATCACTCTCAATATTATATTTCGATTAAGAATTGGATCATATCGATGATACCTTCAGACTGATCGACTGGATTCGTGAGATCACTAACAGTGATGAATTATACACTCGAGGATTTTAGAAACACGTTTAATAGTATTAAGATTTGGGTCAGATGCTTCCGATTGTTGAAAGTATTCAAGAAGCATGAACAATGACTTAATTTAATATAAGAGTTCCGCGGAAATTCCTCGAGGTTTTACACACGGAATTCCGCAAGGAAATCCACAATGGAACTTTTTCCGTAAAAACTACGCGGGTGGGCCGTACCTAATTAGGTTCTTGTCGGTATGAAAACTTAGATCTCGTAAGACCGAGCGTTAGTTTTTAACATAGTAGTGTTTAGGCTTTCGACAGAAAAGAAAAGTTAACGAAGTTAAGTAAACCAAGGCTTATAACTGGTTAAAATATATGAAAATAATCGACGTTTCGGCACTCATTGGCCTTTTACTAAGATATTCTTAAATATGGCATAAAAACTAGAATTTCAATTTTATGTCATTTAGTAAGTAACTTCTTGATAATATGATGATTCAAACGTCGTAGAGCTAGATGATGTGAAATTTGGCAAACGGAAATGCAACAAATTTGGATATCGTATATATTCCTTTATACATCCATGTAAATTTCCAGTTTCATATTGTTCTTCCTAATTATATAATGCGTAAATGCTGACAATAACGCCTTGGAAATTGTTATAATTTGTTCGAAAGAAAATGTGTAAGATGTCCAGATCTCTACTTTATAAATTGGATTACAGAACGTCTTCAAAAATCATGATTTTAGATTATACACTACATGCTCTGACCTCTTTAGATCCGCGAAAAGCACACAGTATTGGGCACCTGTAGGCTGTACCACGGTATTACCACGGTATTACCACGGTTTTACCACGGTATTAGATAATAATGCAGCCAGTGAATGTGATGGTACACAGTTAACTTTGAGTGATATTTTTTATTTAATTGATATAGTATGCTACTATGTTTGTAAATTCGACTTACTGTTGTTCGTTGATAGCTTTATTCAGTTCCTCCTCGAAGTTCTCCATGTGCTTATTGTACTTATCCTCAAAGAAGTCTTCGACATCTCCAAAGAATCCAGAACTGGAAGAAGAACTGGAAGATGATGACGATGAGGACGATGAGGAAGATGAAGACGATGAACCTCCGTTGTTTTTCTTCTCCAACTTCCTGGCCTCTTTCTCCATTTTCTTGGCCTCCTTCTTGACTCTCTTGGCCTCCTTCTTGGCTCTCTTCTTCTCAGTTTTTGGACTGACTCTGAGTGGAACGTACATTTCCACATCCTCCTGACCAGAGGGTCCAGCGAACGATTCATCGTCAACATTGACTAGAGCCATACTGGGTAGTGCGGACCTCCTTTCTAGTTCCATCTTGTTTTCTAATGTTATTTAGTGATATTTAGGAATTTAAAGGAGGAGCTAAACCAGAGCTCTGAGCTCATTTAATATTTATTGCATCGACTAAATATTCAACTCGCCCAAAACCTAGATATTGAAAAGAACGCCGATTTACATATAATCATGAATTCAGAAAATTATCAAGCCAAATGGGTAATTTTCAAATAAGACGAATAAAATACCGACAAAGCGTCTAACAAGAACATAAGGATAAAGACATTAGCAACAATTATAGTGTTACTCCAATTTGACAAGCGGAAAAACAGCTAAAAAACTAAAACACTAAAATTATATCAAACGTACAGAAACCCACACAGCAAGACGGTATTGCATCTCAACAGCACTACGACCAAGTTTAAGCTGTACAGCCGTGGTCTCTAAGCTGGGTACAACAGTCTGTATTGCTTTCTATTATGCAGGTGTTGTCAGAGAGCTAGTGCTAGAGCTGGGAGGCCGCAGTTACAGTCTTTTGACGGAATATATGTGTGCAGCTTAAAGGGCAACCTATCAGCAGGTCTGCTAAAAGAAAGTTAAGTGTGAATAGTTGAGTCCGGCGAGATGGTCATGAAGTGGGTATGATTCGTTCTCATATCAGCTCGTATACACCTGTTGTGTTGGCCTGACTTTGTTGATATTGTTGAAGTGCATGCTGACGTACTTTGAGCCTTTTGGGATATATATCCGTTTAATTTGTATGCAATGTTTAATGTTTATGTATCGTTATATACTTTGTTAAGCCAAGAAAATGTTTTGGACCGCCTTTAGTTCGGGCACGTGTTTGGTCTGTGTTTGGTCACGTTTTGGTCACGTGTCTGGTCCGTACTAAGTAGAACTCTAAATCATGTGTTGAAGGAACAGATCTAAACTTGCTAAGAACTAACAGCTGATCAGACATAGAGGTGTAGAAACTCTTGGTAAGAGAAAACTTTGGGAGTGCGCTGTAGTGAGATGAATATTGTACATTTTATACAGCTAAAAATAAACATAGTTTTTGTAGATGTTCTGTAAGTAATAGTTAACAATAATAAGATACCAAGATATCAGTAACTGTAAGTTTAAAGAATACTATTTTTACTATGCATCGACACGCTGCACCAAACGAAGCTCTATGGATCTGAGATATTACTAAAGGTTGCTTTATATTAAAGTGTGCAATGAAAGGTTTCGGCACTTAACACATTTAAACTGTAAACGTATCAGAAATAATAAATTCTTATTCATAATATCAGTATTGGAGTCACCTAATAGATGTGTTACACTCTTGATTCTTCGTTACATTCTTTGTGATACCGAAACTGGTAAAATGAAACCTTGCAGCTGAGGAAAACTGCCACTTATTTTTGTGCTGAAATAATTTAAATAACTTCAATTTTACACATACCATCACTCAACGCCTGGGACAAATAAATCACATATTTCGTGAGTGGGAAAACTCGCTTACATTATTAAGCTTAACAGTTTATTGAATATTCCAAATTGATCAATATTTTCTTTCAACCATTTACGCCGTTTCTAGTTTTTCTACATTTATAATTGAAACTTGGAGCAGAATGATATCGAAGTTGAACAGTAAAAAAGCGTTACAAATGAGCACTCTTTAAGCTTTTTTAGCCAAACAATCGAAAAGTTCAGATAAATATGTGTGCGAATGTTAACAAATCACTGCCACTAAATGATCAGAATTGCCGTCTCAGAATTTGAATAGTTTAATAAGAATGGCTGATAAGGTTTTTAAAGATTTTACAAACTTGAACGCTTAATTTCTCTCTCAAATGTGGAAAAATACAGAGATCGAAGAAAGACCGAGCAAAGTAACAACTAACAAGTGTAGAGCCAGAGGCCTGTCACAGAAAGGCAAGGCTGCTGAAAAAGTAGCAACAAGTGTCGAGGTTGTTAAAACAATTCCTCGATGTAATAAGTATCAAATATTTCTACAAATATGCTAACGTTATTTCCTATTTTTAGTGCTCAGTCTCAGTTGCAGGAGCTGAAAATGAGCAGGTAAGTCGTATCTAATCCTAGTTCAACGAATCAATATGATATATTTCGTGGGTCGGGTTATAACCTTGATCGTTAACGAAATTATGAGTATTATTATCTGAGTGTTTGACCGGCACTAACATTGTTGGCTATAATATAGTAAGATGTGATTCCACTGATGACGTAGAGACTAAAGTGGTTAAGTGCCGTGTAAAGTAGCTCCAGAGTTTTTGGGCAAATTTACCAAAAAATCGTGCAAAATAGAAGGATTCTAAATTTAAAAGTCTGGGTTCAAATTTAATAATGGTGATGAATTACTATAATCATGATTATACAAATGTCTCACCATGTTTAAATTAAGTCCTTCCGTAAACTTAAGATCGATTACGAGTAGTGTGAGTGATACATAGATCAAATTCAATTACTATTTTGTATCCTTGGTCAGTTTAGTAGTCCTCAGTCCGAGTTGTGTCTGCTGGCTCTGCCATGGCTATTAAGCTTGGGTAGGTCAGACTTACATATTATATAAATTGAACAATGTACAACTGCACATCAACAAGGTCAGTAAAGTTTTAATAATAATGCCACATAATTGATATTCTGCCATTCCAGCCGACACTGCAAGGCTGCTATGATTGGACGTGAACTTAACCAGGAATATCTATGATGGAACGAATAATATGAATGTTTTTTGTGGTGTATATGTGCATTTATGCGATGTGATGCTGTCACGATATCTACAGCGAAATGTCAAGCTCTTCTATTAAGGCGGGGGGTTCAGCCTGATTTTTTTGTGAACCTTGGTTTCGAGATAGTAGTTGACCAACAAACTAGGACCGGTGACCGAACTTTGGAGGGGGTCCCGGACCCCAACCGCCAAACGGTGCCCGCGGGGCAGCCACGCCCATATTTGGTCCAAATTAGGCCCAATTTAGCCAAATACCCTGAACATGCCCAAAGTCCAGATTTTAGGTGCTTTACTTGTAGCTAGTGATCCCCTGAACTCGTATATGAATTTTCATCAAGATTGGACAAAAAATGACTGAGTTATGAGCCAAAAACCATATGACCATAGTTGGGCATACGCACCAAATTTGATCGATTTTGGCCCATAAATTGATCAAATATCAATATTTTTGAATGAAACTAACTTTATATGAAAGGTAAGCCTATACTACACATTCTCTATGATTATCAGCTCAATATATACCTAACTGTGGATTCTGTGTTCAAATAATTGCAAAAAATGAACAAAATCGCCCATATCTCAGTTCGCGATATTTGCAAAACTGACTTCGCTCAAAACAATAGAACTCAATAGGGTTTCAATATTTTTTCATGAAATTTTCAGAATCGACGTAGAATCGCCTCATGACCTTAAGTTTTGTATTGGAATTTTGAGTTAGG